TGATTCTTGTCCTGAACCTAGCCCTGTAGACTTCTGACTGATTCTGGGTTCCGTACCTGAGTTCCAGAGCCGACACCAGTTCCCTATAGTTGTGTCTGTCTGCTGCTGTCGACGGTCCAAGGATTTCCAGTGGTTGTTCCTTCAAGCTCGTTGCCAAATATACAGCTTTCTGCTCCTCTGTCCATCCATTCATCTCTGCCAGTAACTCAAACTGTGCTCTATATGCTTCCCACGGTGCCTTCCCATCGAATTCCTGTGGCTTCCTTCATACTGGATGACTCCTATTACTGACATTCATATCTGAGATGTGACTTCTAACGGGACTGAATATGTCTGCATTAGGGTTTAGCTGCGGGCTCTGTAAGGGGCTTGCCATTGTCTGAGGCTGACTAAGTCGATGGTCAATGTATCCTCCTTGTGTAAAAGACAATAGATCGTCCTTTAACGTATCTAATTCGCTTTCAAATTTCCTAAAGTTTTCCATTTGTACCTCTTGCCATTGTTGTTGATTTTCCTGTAGTTGCTGCTGGCTTTCTTCCTGTTTCCTTTCTTGTTCCACTTGCCAATGCTGTAATCTCACTTCTTGTTTCTTTTCTCGTTCTTCTTGTTTATTTTATTTTTCTTCCAACAACTGCTGTAATCTCTCTTGTTTATTTTGCTGTTCGAGCTGCCATTGTTGTAGGTTTTCTTGCCACTGCTGTATTCTTTCTTCTTGTTTCTTTTCTCATTCGTCTTGTTTCTTTTCTTTTTCCTCCAACCACTGCTGTAATTTCTCTTCTCGTTCTTCTTGTTTCTTTTCTTTTTCCTCCAACCACTGCTGTAATTTCTCTTCTCGTTCTTCTTGTTTCTTTTCTTTTTCCTCCAACAACTGTTGTAATTTCTCTTCTCGTTCTTCTTGTTTCTTTTGCTGTTCTTGTATTGCTGCCATTAAGTCTGCTAGGCTGTAGTTTGATTTGCCGCTTCTCGTTTCCATTTTTTTTATCCCACTTCTGACACCAAT